CAACACATGCTACTGCAGCTTTAATAGAAACATATGCTATGCAGAGTTCTATAATTCTACTGAAGTCAGTGTGGAATTTTGTAGAGATATAATAACAAATCACACTGTCACACACTGTCCTCCCATTGTTCATCAATTAGCTCGAGCGGACCCAGTAACGTCTCCATTGTGAGACTTGTTACTGTGTTTGGCATATCGAATTCGTCATGGGTAGCTTGCCAGGCTTTGCCGTGCGGGCAAGATACTCTTAGTAGCTTGCCAGGCTCTCCGAGAGGGGCGGAGGAATCGAATCCAGTTTGGCCAGGCTGGCTGTGCGCGAGGCAAACGCCCTACTGCTGTGCTATTGCTCTGGCCCATAATAACAAAAAAGACAGAAAATATTTATTCAATACATCAAAAAACAAATGCTTGAAAAGGTATATTTAAAATACAATAGTTATAAAAATAATGTCTGCTAGTTAGAATATGATTATTTTATTAGTACCTGGAAAACTAAAGCTCTTTCTTATCATCTTAACTGTTAGAGCACTCTGAAGAAGGTTAGTTTTCAAATACAAGATAAACTAAGCCACATGTCAAATGACCATGATATCTATAGAAATGCACAATTTCATATATTTTAGATGAGGAAACACTAAACTTTATTATTATTTTATCTTATAACTAATGCATAATATAGTATACTAACATATAATAATAAATGAGACTTACACAAATTAATACATTCTATTATTTTCTCCGTCTTTTTACGCCAATAAACATATACAAAACTACTTGGTAGCCACTGCCAAATGATAGTTTTTTTGCATAAGTAAATAGAACTCATATGTGTTGGGGGCTGGAGAAGCAGTACAGCTGGTAATGCATTTGCCTTGCAGATGACCAATCCAAATTCAATCCCTGGCATTCCATATGGTCCCTCAGCACCACCAAGAGTAATTTCTGAGTGCATAACCAGGACGTATCCAGTGAGCACAGCCTGGTGTTGCCCCAAAACAAACAAAAATTTTATCCTATAAAATATTAAGTCAGGCAATGTAAGAAAGAATAACTATACATTCTGAACTTATAAGTCAATTGCAATTAAATTCACTTGGTATGGCACTTAGCACAATTCTATCTGAAAATTCTATCTAAAAATTCCAGAACTATTAGATTAAGGAATAAAGATGAATATTGTCTATTCCAACATTCCTTATTTCAAACATGAGGCACTAATGGGACAAAGAGAATAAATATTGCTCCCTTTGTCATGTGACTGACTCATAACATCAGAGCCAGTTAAGATCCAAATTTTCCAAACCTTTTTGTCTCCCTTCTATATTAAACATGAGTGTATTTTTATAATGTATGAATAGAGAATGCTTTAAACTTAGAAAACTCAAAAGAGCATTCTCATTAAGTTGCTTTTCCCAAATCATCCATATCTTGATATGTCTTTTTTTCTTAATCACTTAATCACTTAATCCCCGTTATTCATCGATTTATTCGAGCGGGTGCCAGTAACGTCTCCATTCATCCCGGTTGCGTGCTAGCGTAGCCCAATGGTATCTGTTCGTTTTAGGAACATGTAGAGCCTCAAACCGATTATTTAGGGTCTTAACGAAGAAGTCTGACCATCTTATAGGTGGGCGTCCACGTGATCTTTTGTTGTCTCGTGGAATCCAATCAGTAATGGCTCTAGTCCAGCGGTTGTCTGTAAACCTCATTACATGTCCAGCCCATCTGATTTTTGATGTCTTGGCAAATGAGACAGCATCCCTGATTCTTGAGCGTTGACGAAGATCAGAACTCCGGATTCTATCTCTCATTTGAGTGAATCGTGATATTCCATGCATAGTTCTTTCGATTCCTCTTTGAGAGACCCGAATAGTGTTCTCATCCTGTTTTCGTAGGGTCCAGGTCTCTGAGGCATATGTTAATGCAGGAAGAATAGTGGAATCAAAGAGATGTGCTCGTAGCTGGAGGTTCTTTGTCCTTTTAGTTATTTCTTCAATGCTCTTGAAGGCATTCCAAGCCGCTCTCTTCCTCCTGCGCAACTCAAGTGCCAGGTCATTCATCATGTTGATTTCTCGACCTAGGTATATATAACTGTTGCATTCGGAGATGGTGGTTCCGTTGAGAGCGAATGGAGCATCAGGAACAAGGCTGTTTCTCATAAACATTGTCTTCGTAAGATTCAGCTGTAGTCCGACCTTTCCACATTCACGGTCAAAGTTGTTCAGCATTTGTGCCGCTTGGTTGATGTTTCGTGTTATTACAACGATGTCATCAGCAAAGTGGAGGTGGTGTAGTTGCCGACTATCTATCTTCACTCCCATGTTTTCCCATTCCAGTCGTCGCATGATGTTCTCGAGGGTGGCACTGAAGAGTTTTGGTGAAATGGTATCACCCTGCCGAACCCCTCTCTTGATATGGATGATAACTTCTTTGTAGAATGGTGAGATCTTGGTAGTGAATCCGCAATAGAGCTCACGAAGGATACTGATGTATTGAGTTTGTACGCCCTGATTGGCTAGGGCTTCCATGACCGCTTCCGTCTCAACAGAATCAAAGGCCTTCTTTAAATCATTGAACGTTAGACAGAGTGGCATCTTGAACTCCCGAGATACCTCAATGAACTTGGTTATTGTGTGGGATATGGTCGATGGTACTGAATCCTTTTCGGAATCCAGCTTGTTCACATGGTTGTCCTTCATCTAGTGTTCTGCTAATCCTATTCAGGATGACTCGAGTGAATAGTTTGTAGATGACAGACAATAGGCAGATTGGGCGATAGTTGCCAATGTCGTGGATGTCTCCTTTCTTGTATAGTAGTACGGTCTTGCTGGTTTTCCATTGGGATGGAACCTTGCATTCAGACAGGTAGCGTGTGAAGAGTCGAGCCAATGTATTGATGAGTACTGATGGTAAGTTCTTCAGGTGTTCAGGTCTGATCTTGTCTGGGCCAGGTGCTCTTTGTTTCTTTACCGACGAGATGGCATGTTGGATTTCGGAAGGGAGAACATTGGGAACGACATATCCATGATGTGGTATGTGGTATGTGGGCAAGTGGATGTGGCTATTAAAGAGATCTGAGTAGAAGTCATGAATAATCTTCTCCATTGCCCTTCTGGAAGATGTGATAGATCCATCATGATGTCGGAGCCAGTCATCTTGGTTTTGTAGTTGGTGAAGGACGGGCGGGCATTACGAATGTTTTTCCCAGCTTCTGCTGCATCTACCAGTACTGCTGCTCTCCTGTTTTTGAGGTCATCCTTGATGGCTTCTCTGCACTGTTTTGCCAGTTCGGACGTTTGTTTGTGGTTGCCTGAGGCACGTGCCAAGCCACGTTGGCAAATAAGTTCAAGAGTGTTCGAAGAAAGATGGTTTTTTGTGGTTATCTCTCTCTTGGCATTCCTTGCACAATCATGGAGGTGCTGAATCATTCGATCGTATTCCTCATCAATGTTGTCAATGACGGCATCTTCCCATGTTGCAGCAACAGAGCCAAAGAGTTCCCAGTTGGTGGTTGTTCTGGGAGTCCTCCTCTTAAACCTTGCATTCTTTTCTCCTCGTTCTGTGAGGTAGAATTTTGCACGAAGAAGACGGTGGTCTGATCCCGTTTGGAATTTTGGGACAACAGCAACATCAGTTAGGCAAAACCGCCGATTGAATATGATGTGGTCTATTTCATTGTGGAACCGTCCATCGGGAGACTCCCATGTCCAACGTTTAGATTTAGCCTTTTGGAATTGTGAGTTACCATGGAAGGTTTTGGTTGACATGATGAATTCAGACAGTCTGTCACCCTGTTCGTTCCATTCCAGGCCATGGGTTCTTTTTTTCTTAGCCATCACAAATCCACATCTAATTTTATAATATTAATGTATTATCTTTATGTTAACTAATTTTGTTTACTTGTTAAGTGATTCTACAGGAGAAAAGCAAAAAATCTGTACTTTGTGTTGTTTTTATTTATCTCTAACAGAAAGTCTCTGAGCAACAACAACAAAAACAAAAACAAGGACACCTAGAACAGTTTCTATATGATGTTCTTAAAACCAATAGTCTGACTTTCAATAGCATTCCCCCTCCCCGTGCTTCTGTATAAGAAATAATATCGTAAGTGAGACAAGATGAAGATCATGATGTAAAGAACTAAAGCAAAAAAAAAATTTTAAATTATTACTCCACTTATGGGTTGGAGTGATAGCACAGCAGGTAGGGCATTTGCCTTGCAGTTGGCTGACCAGGGTTCAATTCCTCCAGCACTCTCAGAGAGCCCGGCAAGCTATCGAGAGTAACCCGCCCGCACAGCAGAGCCTGGCAAGCTACTTGTGTCATATTCGATATGCCAAAAACAGTAACAACAAGTCTCACAATGGAGATGTTACCGGTGCCCGCTCGAGCAAAATTGATGAACAACGGGAGGACAGTGCTACAGTGCTACTCCACATAAATCAAAACTATTTCTAATGCCCGGTTATATTAACATAGTTAATATGTAGGTAGAGTGTTCAAGAGATTTGATTCCATTCACCAAGCACAGCTATGTCACTTAACCAGTTTCGCCATATATTTGGACACTTATAAGCCCAATGTGTTTAGAAGATTAAATGGAACAATACATGTAATCCCTCAGCAAAGTATCCAGCATCTAGATATACAGCAACTCTTAAATTAGTTATTCCAGACAGGTGACCTAACGCTCAGATCTCAGCATTAGGGTGAGGCAGATAATTCTGAAACTCTAAGGAAATTGAGGGCTGAGACATCGAGGTAATTAGCTTATTCTAATCACGGTGGTGGAGAAATGTCGGTGTCTAAAAAGGAACAGGTTTGCTTTTGGATCGGTGGGGTGCAGGGTAAAAAAAATTGCACCAGCAGCTGGGCCCTCGGCACCTTTGCCCCGGCCGGAATAGAAGAAAACTACATTTCCCAGAGGCCTCCGCGCCGCTTCCGGCGCCACGCGCCGAGGCTACGATGCGCTGACGTCAGTTCCGGTTCCAAAGCCTGGGACTCGTGGGTTCGCGTTTCCGAGCATGGGCTCCTCCGCGTCCCACGCCGTGGAGCCCGTGAAGGTCGCCGCCTCGTCCGAGGCCCCCTGCTCCGCCCAGCCCGCACCCCTCGCAGCAGCCGGGGAGCCGACGCCCTCGGCAGCAGAGCTCGGACTTCGTAACTGCTGGAGCTGTCGCTTGCTCTCCGGGGCGGGGCTGATCGGGGCGGGCGGATACGTGTACTGGGTGGCCCGAAAGCCCATGAAGATGGGCTATGCCCCCAGTCCGGGGACAATTGCGCAGATGGTCGTCGGCATCAGTGAGAATCGGGGCTCAGATCCTGGCAGTGGGGAGGGGACCGGGGAGGAGCGCTCGACGCCACGTGGGGGGGTGGGGGCGGGGCGGTGGGCGGGGCTGGGCTGGGCTGGGCTGCTGTCTGGGACTGAGCACCCCGGGGCGGAGCACCCCAGACGCGGTGCCGGGAGGTGGTTGGGTCGCTCTTGTTTTCCAAATCAAGAACACAAGAACACGTTGTTTAACCTCGTTTTCATCCTCCTAATACCGACACAGCCACCGTCAGTCCCCTCAGTATTGTAGAACAGAAACGCAGTGAATGAAGTAGGGAATGCTGGATTCAACCTTCGAAACTCCCAAGTACTTGACAGCTCAGCTTTTGCTCTTTTGGTTGCTCTGGCCCCAAAGCCAGGATGCTTTTACTCCCGGTCCCAGAGAAAACGGAAGCAAGGGCACCGGATCGTTATTTGGAAAAAAAAAAAAAAAAAAAGGACTTTTGAAGTCCGTTTAGACATGGGTTCAAAGCCCACATTGGAAAAACGTGGCCAGCAGTTCTTACCTGTAGCATTACTTCATTGATGCCTGGATACTTTCTTGCGGATCCCAGTAAAGCAGTTCTTTAAATGTGTGAATGGAATTTGAGATGTTCATATATGCTTTCTTGCTGCTTGGGGATATAACAAGATATTCTTTAAAAAAAAAATAAAACCTCATCCCCACCCCTCTTTTATTTAATATATCCCCCCTTTTATTTAATATACGATTATAATATATGACCTAGGAGTATTACGTTAAGTAAGATGAGGTTTAAATAAGATGATATAGACAAAAGTACCCGGTGATCAAAATGCAGCATGCACATAAAATATATTTGTTTGTATTCCTAGGCATTGCTTGTTGGGGTGTAGTCATCTTGACAGATCCCAAAGGAAAAGCTTACCGTACTGTTTGAACGTGTCACCAGTGAATTTGTCATCTTTTCTACCTGTCTCCATGGTAAACAGAGCAAGCATGGAACTTACGGATGCATGGACATCGGGACACTTGAGATCTGTGCTTACTGCAAGACTGAAGAGACAAATACGGATTGTCATTTATTGGCCATGGGCATTTGTGACCTCAGGTTCCATAAGGACCAATAAATCCCTTAGAGAAGAGAACAGAGTCTGTGTTATATCTGGGGAATGAGAATAAATTTTAACAACAACCAAGTGGAAATGAGAAGCCAACGAGGAAAATTATCGCAACTTTAATGGTCTTTTTTTCTTTTTGTTAAATTGGGTCAAAGCCTATCACCAGGAACTGTGCAATATGTAGAAATACTTAAATTTTGTAACTGTTCTGCTTGCATGTCCCAAGGCTTTGTTAAAATCTTCCCATGAATGTTTCACAGCTATTCTGAGGTGATTTCTTTCATTGGTAATTAAACCTTAAAGAGTCCAGGTGAGTTATCGAGCCTGATTGAGCAAGTCACTGCTGGTGCCCAGGATTTAATTGTCTTCACTATTCTTATTGTTTCAGAACTGGAATGGCTTCAAAGAAGAAAGGATAACTTTTATGAATCAGATAATCATTAAAAACAAATAATAGAACAATTAAGTACCAAAACACATTTAAAACTTTTTTTGTAATAAAAGCATATTTTTCTACAAGTCTTGAAAACATTTCTATGATGAAAGAGATGGTTTGATTTAAAGACTTGTAATTAGTTCATCTTATAAAAGAAATATGTGCTTCCTTCCAGAGGCTTGTTTTTTTCCCTGGCTTCCCTAAAAATGTTACAGGTATCTTGGAACAAAAAGTGAGCAGACAGCTACAAAGCACTGTGGATTTTGAATAGGCTGAGCAAGTACCTTAAGGGCTGTTATTTATTTTTTAGCTTTATATGCAAGTGCCTCAAGCTGTTAAGCTTCACAAATTACAGTAAGACTTGTATTATCTAAGACAATTCATGGTTTGGGTAGAGCTATCTATATTTATATATACAGTTGTGAAGGAAGGTGCTGCAACTTTAAGTCAGCATCAAAGTATTCAGTTAAGTGATGTTTATGATAATACTGTTATGTTGGAAGAGTCCATAGTCCATAGACTTCCCGTGGCAGGTAACCTTCTTGAAGGCCAGTAACATGATGTTGCTCTGAATACCAATGAAGACAACTATTTCAGCTTTAAAAGACAAGCTGGGGACAGCAGCTAATCTAGTAGTTAGCATACTTGCATAGAATGCACCCAACACAGGTCAGGCCCAGACCTGCAATGCAACCCCTGAGCACTGCCAGATGTGACCTCCGGGGGACCCAGCACTGCCAGTATCCCTCACCACAGGTTTGAGCAGCATCACATCCTTAGTTCCTTCCACAGAACTGTACACCCAGTCAGCCAAGAAACACTTGTTTTACTTTTAAAAACACAGATGCGGGGCTAGAGCGATAGCACAGCGGGTAGGGCGTTTGCCTTGCACGTGGCCAACCCGGGTTCAATTCCCAGCATCCCATATGGTCCCCCGAGCACCGCCAGGAGTAATTCCTGAGTGCAGAGCCAGGAGTAACCCCTGAGCATCACCGGGTGTGACCCAAAAAGCAAAAAATAAAAACACAAATGCATATGTGTATACACACACACGTGTGTGTGTGTGTGTGTGTGTTTTAGTTTTTAAGTAAAACAAGTCAGGTCTTTTGATGAATGAGTAGTTACAGTGAGTAAATTTTTAGGTTAAGCCAAAAACAAATCTAACTTAACGGTCCTGACCTACAGGATATTTAATCTGAATGTTACTATGTCTAGAGTTTATACTAATATGAATCTGTAAGTAAAGAAGAGGTTTAAGATTTTTTTTGTCCTGCTCACTCATTTTGTTGTGAATTAAGTGAGCAGAATAAAACTGGGTCAAGACAAAATTGCTTGGTAATGTAAGAATACTAGCTTAATTATGATTTATGGATTTGAGAATACAGCATGGAATTAAAAGTTTATAGAGGCTCATAATTAGTGTTTGCAAAATGGAGAGGTTCTAAAAGTTGGTAATTTAAAATGCCTTTTTAGGTTCTTTGGAACATAGATTAATATGTGACCATATATATGAACACTTTTTTTTACCATGTTCAAGAAACCTTTAAGCTCAGCCTTTCACAGTATGAAATGGTATCTTGAGATGGTGAAGAAACCATTGCTACATTTCTTGTACCTGTTGTGAAATTGCCTTTAAAGGGACTAGATGATGTGATCAGCTAATTATATCTGAACACATTAAAGGGTTGGAGATTTCTCTACTCTTGGAGAAAGTGAAGGGGCTGAGGTGAAGGGTATCTACTAGGTCAATTACTAAGATACCTGTTGGCTGCAGTGGAGTGTCCCAAATGAAAGTCCAAACAGTTTGGGGCTGGGCCTGCGTTAGATCAATTACGGAGACAACTGTTTCTGGTAGTGCTGGTGGTTAAGTGTCCCAAACATGATTTGTACTTCACCTTCACCCTCAACAACGTGTTCTTTTTATTACTGGATTCTTAACCTGACTGTATCTGAATTAGGGACCTCCTGAATCAAGGGAGTTAATCTGACAACATGAAATATATATTGCACTTAAAAATATGTTCAGGGCATGCATATATTCACATGCCTCCCTCAAATCTAGCTTGCCACAACTGTTTTATTGCTTAAACTGCACTGATCAAAGTGACACATCTAAATCTTGAAAGTCAGAAATAGTAAGCAATTTTGAACTGAAAAAATACTTTTTTTTTTAATGACACATAAATCCTTGACCCAATGATTATATAGATATTAGGAACGGAGAGTCAGAGTTGAAAGATCTATAATTTCACGTCATTCAGCAGCATCTTAAGAGCATAGGGAGAAAATATGTCACACTTCTAAATGCATGCCTCTTGGCCTTTGAGGTACTCAGGAATTTGTCATTCAAATGTAAATGAGGTATAAAGAAATTCCTAAAAGGGCAAATGTTAAATGCAGCACTGCTACTAAAATTCACTACTCAGTCCTCTGAACTTGCATATACTTCAGAAATGTGGTAGTCAGGATTCTTAAGATGGTGCTCAAGAATCTCAGCTCCTGGCCTAGACACCTCTAGTATTTAAACACCGTACGTTCTTCTGTAAAGGAATTTGACATCTTTGGTTCTCAGATCTCTTGACTACAAAATAGGGAGATTATCCAAGAAAATTAATTACATGAGTTCATTAGTTAAATTAGTATATGAATATTAGTTACAGGAGACCTTTAAATCTTGGATTAAGGCATAAGCAGGATAAAGATCCTATTCTAGAGAGATCAATGCAAGCAAGAGAGAAAAACATCTAAGTTCTTTTTTTTTTTTTTAATTTTTATTAGTGAGACACCATGAGGTACAGTTGTAGACTTACAAATTTTTGTGCTTGGGTTTCAATTATACAATGATCAAATACCTGTCCCTCCACCAGTGCCCATTTCCCACCACCACGGATCCCAGTATCCCTCCCACCCACCATCCTCCCATCCCACCCTGCCTCTGTGGCAGGGCATTCCCATTTGTTCTCTCTCTCTTATTGGGTGTTGTGGTTTGCAAAAGAGGCAATGGGTGACAATCATGTTTGGTCTATAGTCTGCTTTCAGCATGCTTCTCCCATCCTCGGAGGATACTCCCAACACCCTTTATTTGGTGCTCCCTTCTCTATCTGAGCTCCCTTTTCCCCTAGCATGTGTGACTAGTCTCCAAGCCATGGAGCAAAATTCCTGGTACTAATCTCCGCCATTCAGAGGAAGATGCTGCTGACTGAAGTGGAGGAGCTTAAAGGCCCAAAGGCTAAGAGGGAAAACAAGTAATACTGAAAACAAAAATTCAGTATTACTATTGCAAGGGAATTAATTCTGCTAACTGGTGAGCCTCTAAGAGAACCTGTGGGAATCAAAAACTACAGCTCGATCAATGTCTTGGTTTCAGCCCGCTGGGACCCTAACCAAAGTATTCATGCTGTGAAACTCTGAGAGAATAAATTTGTGGTTTAAGTGGTTTAGTCTGTAGTAATTTGACACATAGCTATAGAAAATGAACACAAGAAATCAGGAATGGTTTGTACGGTATCATCTTAGTAGGTGTTATGCCAGGCTGTATACACATCCCTATTTTGGGCACTCAGGAAGTAACGAGAAGGGGCGTCTGTCCAACAATTTATATTTACAATTACTCAGTCACTGTCTTCACTTGTTTTGTTACTGATGGCTTTCTTGAATAGTTTTTATTTTCAGTTTTCTAGAATGTTGCTATTTAGCAATATATATATGTATATATCATATATTTATTCATCGATTGCCTTGAGCAGGCCTCAGCAACGTCTCTTTCATCCAAGCCCTGAGATTATATTCAAGGCTCTTTAGGAGAATGAGACCCATCATTGTTACTGGTATTTGGCATATTTGGTACGCCACGGGGAGTTTGCCAGACTCTGCCCTGTGGGCAGGCTACATTCGATAGCCTGCAAGTTTGTCCAAGTTTGTATATATCATATATACACATCACATATAATGTGTAGAGCATTATGCTTACTGTTTCCTAAGAATTATTTAATCTCAGCACCCCTATTGTACAGATGAGGCAACTGTGGCCTGAAATAGGTAAAAATTTTCCCCATACCAGGGCTGGAGCTGTAGTACAGCGGGTAGGGCATTTGCCTTGTATACGGTTGACCCGGGTTCAATCCCTGACATCCCAGTTGATCTCCCAAGCACCTCCAGAAGTAATTCCTGAGTGCAGAGCTGGGAGTAATCCCTGAGCACCTCTGGGTGTTACCCTCACTCTCCCCGAAAATGAAGAATTTTTCCAAAACCTCATGTGATAGACCATTACTGGCCTAGCAAAGGACACTTATTGGGAGTCAGGGTTTTGTGCTACTATGATTATTAGCATCCATTCTCAGGTATCAAAATACAAAAATTTAAGTTCTGCCTTCCCGTTTTTTTCTTAGTTATTCCTTATTTTAACATGTTTTACTATCTTCCTGTTTCTAACAGAGTTGGCATTACTTAAAATTCTGACAACAATGTGCATATAAATCCAAGACAACAAAGTCTTACTTTCCTCAGCATATTGCTATACTTCTGTGATTTAACTCTGATCTGTCTCCTAGTTTTGGGCCATTCTTATGAATTTCAGATTCCTTTCCCCAGCCCAACAGTATCCTACATTTCTGTCTACAAACATCCACAGTCCCAACTTGTCTACAATAAATTTCTCTCTCTCTTACCTACTTCTCTTATTGTGTCTCTGTTCATAGTTGTTCCATCTCATCAACTGACCAGGATAGAAACTATGGATTAATCAACACTTTCTTTGACGTAAGTCTTAGTATTTTTAACTAGTTCGCTCTTTTCTATTTCCATTTGTTATCATTTAGGGGCTGGACCGATAGCACAGCAGTAGGGTGTTTGCCTTGTGGGCGGCCCAGCCGAGCCGGGTTTGATTCCTTCGCCCCTCTCAGAGAGCCCAGTAAGCTACTAAGAGTATCATGCCCTCACGGCAAAGCCTGGCAAGCTACCAGTGACTTATTTAATATGCCAAACACAGTAACAAGTCTCACAATGGAGACATTACTGGGCCCACTCGAGCAAATCAATGAACAACGGGAGGACAGTGCAGTGCAGGGTCATCTATAACTATTTCTTATAATAAATCCTTAAATTCATCTCATTTCAAGGAAATGTCTCTGCTCTCCATACTCTACCCAGAGTCACAGGAAAACTTGTCCCAACAT